TGGCAACCTTGCCCAGCGAACCTACACACTTGTCACCAACAATGCAGTGATTTTCAGTCATCTGCAATACTTGGAAGTGTGAGGTGCTGCCTCTTGTTATGGAAAAGTCTTGGGTGATTACAAGAATTACTGACTTTTTAGCTTAGCGACAGTTCTCGCCGCAACCCTAGAGTAGACAGAAGTGTCCACACTCGCCGATGACAATTGCTTATAAAAAAAAGAAGTTAAGAACGTTACTCTGTTATGTTAGTAATTCTCACATTCATGTCGAAAAAGTCACGGAAAAAAGTAATTCTTGTATTGAAGTACGACTTAATCTTTTCCAAATATAGGTTATTGGCCATCAACGGAACCAAAAATGAGTTCTGGACCAAGTACTAAAAATACCCAAATTTACCATTTTCACAATGAATGGGAAGAAGACTAATTTTTTACCATGAATAATTTGAAGTGTCTGTGCTTGCTCTGCCATGCGTCTCCAGCTCTAGCTAAGAAAGAAAATCCTGAAAAGCATTTCAAAAGTTTTCACAAGAAGAATGATAATGATTTCCCTCAAAAGTGAGCTACTAAAGAGGAAAGTTCATGAACTGAAATCATGGCTTACTGCACAACAAACTCTTTTTACAGACGCGAGCTCAAAATCAAGGGTAGCAACCATTGCATCATTCAGGGTGAGTCAAGTGCTTACTAAGTATAAAAAAAAAAACATTTCAAGATGGAGAAATATTCAAAGAGGCCTTTTTAGAAGCAGCATATTCGTTGTTTGAAATTTTCAAAAATAAGTCTGAAATACTGTCTTCTATTAAGGATGTTCAGTTATCAAGAAACACTGTCATTAGGCGCTGTGAATTCGTGGCTGAGGATTTGGGTGAACAACTGAATAAAGACAGACATGAGTGTGTGTTCTTTTCATTACAATTTGAGGAGTCTACTAATGTGGTCGATACATCACAGTTATGTATTTTCATTAGAATGGTGTTTAAAGACATGAGTACCAAAGAGGAACTGCCGAAAATTCTACCATTAAAAGGAAAAACTCGGGATGAAGACTTATTTCAGACTTTCAGTGATTTTGTTAATAGTTCACAATTGCCAGTTGCTCATATCTAAAAATGCTGATGGGGCACCTGCATTGGTTGGCCGAATCAATGGGTTCTTTGCCCTGTGCAGGAGTGATGATAGGTTTCCTAACTTCTTTTTTGGCCTCAAAAGATTGGCCTTTTGATCACAACGAAGTGTGGCTGTTAGATTTAGCTTTTTTAGTTGACATGACTGCTATGCTGAATAAATTAAACTTAGATCTGCAAGGAAAAGATAAAACTATAGTTGACATTAGTCCTGTGGCTGCTTTCAAGCAGAAACTAAAACTAGTGTCTTCGCAGCTGCATCAACATCAACTACGAAGCTTCAGAAATATGATGTCTGAACTAGAAAACCAAGGAAAAGACTATGACCTGTTTGACAGTGCTCGATATATTGAACAGGTACAAAACCTTGCCTCATATTTTGACTGACGGTTTCAAGATACAGCAACCTGTTGCAAAATATGTGTGTTTTCCATTTGGTAAAATCACAAATGTTAAAGATATTGCATCTAGAATGGCATCAGTATTTAACATGGACATATCTGAAGTCGAAAATGAGCTTCTCAAGCTTAAAAATGATATTCAGATCAAATCCATGGCAACAGGAGGAAGTTTCTGGAATCTTCTCAGTGAAGAAAAATATCCCAATGTCAGAAAATGTGCCATGTACCTCACAGCATTTTTTGGATCAACCTACCTTTGTGAATCAACATTTTCACACATGAAACACATCAAATCCAAATACCGATTAACAATGTCAGATGAACACCTGGATGCTTGCTTGAGGCTAGCAGTCACCACCTACAGTCCTAATTACACAAAGATGGCAGACAACATGCAGTGCTAATAATCTCATTAGTAAAGTAAGTTTATGAATTTGTCATGTTAACAATATATCATAACAATTATTGAAAAATATTATTTGTTTACTCTCTCTCTCTCTCTCTCTCTCTCTACGAATCTGCGTATTTTATGGCAATGGGTGAATATTAGGCTGGTAGATCGCATCAGGGTAACTGTGGAAAAAGTAGATTACATCACACAAAAGGTTGGCCACCCCTGCTGTATAGGAAAGATGCATTGTGATAATGTACCGAAGAAACATGGTGATGGAAAAGTTGTGTCTACTAATACAACACTACTAAGGCTCACACTAATATGAGGAAAGGTATCCAGTCTCTTATGGTTGGTGTCATCATTAAAAACTTTCAAAAATACTACAGTACAAGTTTATAACAATGACACCTTCCTCACAGTGATACTTAAACTGGAATTGCACACACCAGTATCCTCCTTTGTTACAAAAGTACTTGATATTTACACAATGAGAAAAAACCACAAGCTGTCATGCCGATACATTTGCCAAATCTTTCAGTCACATTTTAATAACATTTGTGGAAGTAGAGTATTTGAGCAGTGGTGGCTGAATGAATAAAAGATAAAAATATATGCTAAGTGTACAGTATTTCTCTAACTAATCTTTTACTCTTTGTCATGTTTTGTCAAAGCAATTCTCTTTTTGAGTCGTCCATAAAATAAGTCCAGTATAATCTTATTGTATTTTGTTCATAAGCTAAAATATAATTCCATCAAGATTTTAGAAATAACCAAATCAGCTAATTATTCTGTAAAATACAAATATCTCACAAAAGTTGGACCATAATACAAGTGCAGGGTACTTCATATACAATACCCTAATCATGTTCAGGTCCAATAAATATCTATCAGGATTCAACAAACTTCTTCCCTGTTCAGATGGATGGTGCACAGTCACTACTAAAACTGCCTGCATGATGGCTCCACATAACTCTGTATTTCTCTCCTATGCACACGAGTCCTTCATCTTTACTCAAGCCTAACTTTTAGTTTCTTTTTTTAATCAATTACCTTATTTCAACTCGCTCATAACCATGTCATAAGTCAGTCTTAGTCTCTCATATTTAAAGGTTAACTCTTGTTTGTTTAAGGATTAATTCAGGTAAAAACCTCAGGATGCTGGAGACAAACATAAGTTGTTTAGTGGAGGAGTCAACCATAAAAGTCATTTTAGTACCATAAACAAAATGTTTATGTTGTAATGATTCTGGTAACAGAGTAAAGCCCATATATTGTACATATGTACTATTATTCATATAACAAAAAATCATTCCTAAAAAATTTCTATATACTGTACAGATGTACTCGCACATATCACATGTACAGTACAGTACTGAGAATAAACAAGAACTGAAAGAGAAACAATTCAGTGAGTTTGGACACCTAATTTTCACACATATACATATATTATATACTGTATTGTACATTAAGATCTCTTTTTATAAAGTGGATTGGAACCGAATTGATTCTGCATTAAAGAATTTTTCTTAAAAGCAGTACTGCACTGTACTGTACTGTGTTGTGTACCCTTAGGATTCAAGTGAAATACTGTACACAAAAATATAAATAACCTTGCAAAATAAACATGTAGACCTTCATTTTTCCTTCATTAACAAATATGTACAGTACATATAATGGTTTAATTAAAATAATTTATTTGCATACATTATACATAAACAATAAAAAATAGTCTGAGTACAATAATAAAGTTGTATACCGTGCTGTACTGTACTGTACATAAAAACAATGCAAAATTACTGTACTGTACACTCTCCTATAGAATATAAACACAAATAAACCAGCAAGATCTGTATGTGGTGAGAATCAGTAGTGTTAGTGGGTGAACGAATGTCACTGCTGAAATTGTTTATACTGTACAGTATTTGTGGTGTTACAACAGCAGATCAAACCAAACATCAAGCCTAAAGTACTCAAAGATCACCTAAATGTAAAATTACGTTTACTGTACGTATTGTAAAAATACCTTAAAAGCAAGAGGCGGGATGTGGTGGTGTTATGAGTGGAAGAAAATACCATTGTCAAAATTTGACAGTGGATCAAACCAAACATGACCAACTCCTAAAAAGTATTGTGAAATACTTACCGGCAAGTAAAATTATTTTCACTGTAAAAATTTCCTTATTTTTACCTTACAATAACAATTCAATGTTGTATTGAATTTCATGCATACTGTACTCACCAATTTTTAAACTACAAGGTGCCAAATTCAAATTTCACAGTCACTCACTCCGATTCCATAAATTTGCCATTTCCGGTAAATTCGTTATTCCACTGTACTACTTCACGACTAAACTCCGTCACTGCCTTCTCTGTATGCTTATTCCTGTTGGCCTGTTTGTACTCTATCTGCATATGGTACTGTAAGAAGAGGCCAGTTATTGTAACCTGTACCTTGTGGTTATAATATTTTTTACTGTCCCAAATATTGATTGCTTACATTAATATTAGTTCAAAGGAAAATTCTTAACAATTACAGCATAAGACAAATAACACTGAGATGCAAGTTGCATTAATCTATAGTACACTTTAAGAGTTCTGTGTTTGGTAATGGCAACATGACAGCTCAGCTAATTACAGGGAACGTCATCAATAAATCACTACATCACTTGAGACTCATTAAACAATCTCTAGTTCTAAAAAAAAAATATATATATATATATGCATCACCCCAATACAGTATATACACAGTACAGTTAAAAACCAAACACTTATCCCTCTAAGGAATGATTCTTTTACCAGTCACCCGTTTCTCTTGAGCACCATTCATTTTGCAAGGGCCATCCTCCACTGTACGGCCGCGGAAGTCGTCCATTGTGAGGTGACCCCCACATGCTTTGTACAGTTGGTAAGAACCTTTTGCTGGAAGAAGGCTGGGGAAAAAGATACAGTAATGCAATGTCACAAGAAAATTCATGTTGTAAAGAATGTGTCCACTCACTGAAACAGTTCTCTATTGATACAAACAATTACACCATCTCACTCTCATTCATCCAGAGAGACAGTTAAAACAGTGTTTTCCATAAACATGAGAAATGAACAATACTTATATGAAAGAATGACAGGAATATATGAACAATGAATTTGTCAAAACTATAAGTATATACAATGGTGTAGATCAGGGGTCACCAAACTTTTTTCACAGTGGGCCGGATAACTGAAAGAATGACGAGCGCGGGCCGCATAATATTTAAATTTAAATTGTATCACAACGTCTCGTGTTCCATACGTTTTATCAAGCAAATTCAAGTACCGTCGGCGGGCCTGATGAACTGACGTCGCGGGCCGTAGTTTGGTGACCCCTGGTGTAGATGATGATTAATAAAGCTTTTGGCAAATTCCAAATTCAATTTCTAACAAACAAGGATCTTTTTTTTTAAGGCGAGGAGATAGTCCACAATACACATTGTCTTAACATTAAAAAAGGCACCAAGTCATATTGTGAGCACATTGGCAATAGTACAATGTAGTTATACATAATGAAGTCCATCAATTTCTGGAGGAAAGAAGGTTGGCAGCTGATTTGGATGTTCCCATTCAGGGCCAGAAAGACTGAAAGGCTTTTCCACGATCACCCTTATAAACCATTTTCCATCGGCAACAACCACAGTTAATAATGGACCAGAAATAGCAGCAGAAGGGTTCCAATCGTTACTGTTACACACTTCTTGGAGGATGGAAAGATAATTTATCTGCTTGTCTGCATTCAAAACAAATAGGGATCTGGGGACAATCTCCCATTGATGAGCTATAAGCTTATGGACAGCCCATAATATAGAAATCAGAAAAATCATGGGAGGAGAATAAAACTGATCTAGCAGATGGTATATCCAATGTAGCTACAAAAGTTATGATATGGTTTACCAACCTTATACTCCTGTATCCTTCCCAACCAGTTACCATTTTTAATATTGAAGAAATTAACATTTCTTCAATATAGTCAAATGAAACTGCAACATCTCTATTTAGGATTATGTACTCAAAGTGTGCACCCAAGTTGAGTAAGTTCAAAGATCTTAACAATAGCATTTCTTGAAATATATTCTACAGCAGCTTTTGGGCGATTAAAATGAGAGCACTTCCCTAAAATGCTTTGTAATTTCTATACAGTACATGAATGAAGAGTATATATTGTACAGTATACATATACAGGTACAAGATACAGTACATAGAAAGGTACAGTATACTGAATGCACTTTTATCTAAATTTTTATGTCTCAATCTCAGAAAAGGACATAACACACAAGGTTTTAAACTTAACCAACTTATGGATGATACAAAGGATGTGAATATAGATCATCTTCTGAAAAATGGCTCTCAGAGGTCCCACTGCCCTATCCATGAGTTATACTGAAAAATCATACGAGTACAGTAATAAAATACAGTACTGTACTGTACAGGTAAATTTTAACATGACCTCTTGGGATGGAACCAGCTACAGATCTGTGTTAAAACCCTGCATACAACTGCTCCTGAACTGCCATTTTTTATGAGCATTGGAAATCAGAAATGGTCAGACAGACAGGGTGACTAACTAAATGCCCTTCTGTCTTTTTGGCCTTGAATGGCAATATCCATATCTATTGCCAACCTTTTCCCATGGAAATCAATGGACCCTACACTGTAGCACTGCCACTGTGGTTCTATACTGAGACAATGTCTATATCATGAGCTATCTACAAAACCTTTGGATCATAAATCTAATTATAAAAGCATGCAATTAATAGTAACATGTCCATTAATTTATAGTACATTCATGCAATTACTAGTAACTTAGATAGAGGAACACCCCGGTTAAAGAACTTTCAGGCTACGACACTCTGATGTCACAAACAAGCTTCCCAGAACATAACTGGCAGTATACAAATACCCTGTACTCCTTGGATTTACAAACAATATCTAATCTTCTTATAATGGAAAAAAATATCAATGAAGAAAAAGAATGTTTGAATACCAGTAAATATTCTCACTTACCAATATAATACAATACATCTATGTTTTGTACTGTACCTGGATGCTTACATAGTGAACTAGCTGCGAGTTGAAGAAAGGGTGACCGACTGTTTACATAGGCTAACACTCACCGGGAGATGGTAATTGCAACACTTATAGTGAGTTTCTAAAGGGTATAATAACCATTAATTCCCTTAAACATCTATAATCTTCATATTATTTTTATTACAGGTGACATCTTTGGAAAAAATTGGGGTTTTGTGAGGTGGTCCAGAACCTAACTCCCCATAATTATTGTACATTGAAGCTGTGAGGAATTAGCTTAGTGGAGTAGGAACAACTGCCTTCAGAACTGGTCCTTCACTCCTTAACTCGTTCATTACCCGGGGTGTTCCTTTACACTGTATTTACTGTAATAACTTATACAATACAATCCACTTACAAGCTCTCAATTCATACACTACTACCTTCATCAATTAAAATACAGCTACAGCTACACAGTACTGTTTTACCTTCATCGTCTTGGGTGAAGGTAAAACAGTACTGTGTGTAGCTGTACTATATTATACTGTATTTAATTGAAAAGGTGAATCCAGATGCAATTCTTAGATCAGTCTAATGACCCCCCCCCCCCTCCATACAAATGTTTGCGGATGATGCCAAGTTATTTCGGGAAATTAAGAACCAAGCAGACTGTGAAGAGTTGCAGAAGGATCTCTGTGAGCTTCAAGAATGGTCGAAGAAATGGATTCTAAGACTCAATGTCACGAAGCGTAAGAGGATGCACCTGGGGCATACCAACGGTAAGGAGTCGTATAATATGTCCCAACGGGACAAAGAAATTGCATTAATTGAGACTGAATGTGAAAAGGACCTTGGTGTGTATGTTGACAATGAGCTGAAGTTCTCGGGCCATTGCGAGAAGAAGGTAAATCAAGCAAATAAATTATTGGGTCTTCAAGAGTGAAGCACTTCCCCATCTGGAGCACTGTCACCTCGTCTGGTCCCCGAGATATGCTAGGGACTGTCAGTTGATTGAAAATGTCCAAAGGAGGGCCGCCAGACTGGTGCCTGCCCTTCGGCACCTCAGCTTCCCTGAGAGATTGGAGCACCTGAACTTGCCTAGCTTATACTACAGACGAGCAAGGGGAGACCTAATTGAGGTGTATAAGCATCTCAAATGGCACTACTCAGTTGAGTGTCCTTACCTGAAGCAGGTGGATGCTCGCCCCACAGGGGGTCACAGCTCAAAGTTGAAGAAGTCACAAGCCCAGAAAACTGTGAGGGGTAACTTTTTTGAAGTGAAAGTTGTGAACTCTTAGAACAATCTGCCAGTGAGTGTTGTAACAGCACCGAGTGTGAGCTCTTTCAAGACTAGACTTAACAAGCACTGCAGCAGGTTCAGGTACATTCAGGAGCCAGTGCATGCCCAGCACTTGCCAACAGTGCGTAACAGAGACGTGACCGATTGCCCAAGCGGCTAAGGAGCCGATCAGTGGTGAAGAGGATAAAAGTAAGCATGCACTGTACCAAGCAGGTCAGTAGAGAGAAACCAAACTGAACTGAGTGGAGTACAGCGCTTGCCTCCTGTCCTCACTGGTTATTATTATTATTATTATTATTATTATTGTTATTATTATTATTATTGTGTATTGTGTGTATTGTATTGTATTATTATTATTATTAATTATTATTATTAATTATAATAATAATAATAATAATAATAATAATAATAATAATAATAATAATAATAATAATAATAATAATAATAATAATTCATAGTAAATAAAATTTGTAATAAATACAAAATTGAAAAAAATAATAAAATGATAATGACAATAATAACAACAACACTGATGATGATGATAATAATAATACCAATAAAAACCATGAAGAATACAAAAATGAAAAACATCGAAGGTGAGAAACAATATATATATATATATACTGTATGTGGTGTTGTCAACAGTACGAGAAACAAATGAGACCCTGCAATTGTGTGTAAATGGATCAGAAAGATCAGCAACCTGGAACTTGGTCACAATTTTTGTGATGCCATATGACAGCAGGGTCTACCATTAGACAACACATGTTTTTTCATGATCCAGCTATGTTCACATGAATAATGTAACCTGCCATTAAATTAAGTAATGCACCTTTCCTCGAAGTTACAGAAAGAGCATTTAGAGGTAGTGTTCTCCCTGGTGGCTGCATATACAGCACAGGTAGCTCTAAAATCCAATAAGATACCGGTTATTCTGCTCCCACCACTGTAATGTCACTATTAAATCCATGGTTTAAATGTTTATCAAATAAGCAACGCTGACAATATTAAGATGAGCAAAAATTTTGATAAACCTAAAAAAAAATTTCCCCATTCCTCCACACAAAAATAGGGTTGTCATGCTGGAATAAAACTTCTAGCTACTGAAAACCCACCATCTATTTTATAGCCTATTACTGTATAATGTTTGTCATGATGCATTATACTGAGATCTAGTAAACTCTTCAGATAACTGTACTATAAAAATGTTCTAACCTTCAATAGTAAGTCCTATCAGCAATTACAAACCTGCAACTGAAGACCTGTGAATATTTAGTTGAAGTTCTTGTGTCCTACAAGCTCATCCAAGGCACAGGTAATTCCAGTTACTCTCCCCAGAAGTACATAGGCCTTCTGGGGCAGGCAGCTGGAAAGATAAGTTAGTGCTGCAACCTTCACCCAAGCAAACATTAGCCATATGAATCCATGGAACATACTGTAGTAGGCTTGCGAGTACACCCCGTATTTTTCACCGTTTCTTCCAAGACTTCAAAGAAAGTTTTCTATGTTTGTACTGTCCTTCATCTCTTACCATGCAATTATATACCTGTAATGTGAAAACTAATTTCAAAACTACAGATTTGAAGTAAAAACTATTTACCATTTCAGGGAGCATCAGGTTATTTTTTTTTCTCCAAGCTCAAAATGAGATAAAATAGTCTAATACTGGTGTAAACATCAAGCCTACTAGTCCATCACTATGATATTAGAAGCAGCCTATCTGTTGATATATGCATCATGCACAACCACCACCTTGTGCACAGCATACATGACTGGTTACATGGAGAACCATCTGATGTTTCCTGCATGCAACCAACACCACTGTCTCATGGCATATGTTGCAAAAGAAATGATGAAAAAGTAAATTTAGAATATTGTACATAGAAATACATCTAGTCTTCTGTTGTTTGGAAATTTATACAAATCATTTTCTCTTGACATGATGTACTTTTTTTTTTTTAATTATGCGTAAAAAACATCTCACCCAGCACTTGCCCCGCATCCCCTTATATTGTTTGTAAGAGACAGTGGTTGTGAGGTGGGCTAAAGGGAAAATACTGTATAACTGGCAATAATGAGTGAGTAGTAATTCAGTTCAGTTTGTGGATCTGGTGTGTAAGTTCATATTACATTTTGTTGTACAGTACTTGTTCTTTTTCTGTGGAATTGTTCAAGCCCTTCTTTATGCATCCAAAGTAAATTTGAATTTATTGTTTAGACATGGTTGTGTTGATGGACATTTTACCAGTGTGATGACTATATACAGTACAGTACTATACCCCCACTTATCTGGTCAGGGGAAATAAAGGGGTATGAAGCTACCTAGGTAAATACTACAAGTACATGGACTGAATAAATTAAATTATATTGGTATGAAATAAAAATTAAATGACATTCTCTACATAAAAGTATTACAAAGCCATTTGAGAATGTGCATCAGGTGCCTGCAAAGGTCACATTTGGGATATGGCTGGAGAGAGTATGACGCACAGGTAAACATCTCACGTTTGATAATATATTTACTTACCAACTGAGTGAAGACAGCCAAACTAAAAGGTGCCTCGTGTAAATTTACCATTAAATACAGTTTACGGTATATACCCCTGCAGCAAATGTTTCCTCACTAAAAAGGCTGGTACGAGCAGGTCAGTGGGAAAACTGGTGCAATTACCAAGGGGAAAAGGTAAGATAAAACAGGACAAGTGTTTTTTATGATGAAGGGGAAAAGGACAACCTGATCAGTAAGTGCGATGACAAGGGGTAAAGAAATAGTATAAATAGATGTACAGGTCTATAGGGAATAATAGTTTGAACAGTGTTTGTAAAGTGGAGAAAAAAGAAAAGAGTGTGTTGTAAATGTGAAAGTATCGTATAAAGTGCACAAAACCACTGGAATGTACATACTATTTAAGCAGGACCAGGTATTTGCAGAAAGGCGGCAGCACCACAATGGGGGTGTTTAGCAGGATACCATCAACAATTTCGGAGGCCACATATTCAGGCTTGAGGATTGGGATCACTCTGTTGGTTGTGCAAATACATTAAAGGCAACTCAGCAGTTTATTCTTTTACAGGTACAAAAATTACCTGGTTTTTTTCATACTAGAGCAATTATAACCTGATACAAATAACATCTGATTATCATACACAACTAAAATTAGAATTTGTATCTATCAGCTGTCCACAAATCTGATGTAATACAATACCACTTGAGAGTGAAAGCCTGAAACAAAAAATGCAGAGTATGAAATTGCTTGAAAGAATAGAGAAAGTAATTAAAGAACAGTTGCAAAAGGATCTCTGTGAGCTCCAAGAATAGTCAAAGAAATAGCTGCTGAGATTCAATGTCATGAAGTGTAAAAGGATGCACCTGGGACGTACCAACGGTAAGGAGGCGTATCATATGTCCCAACGGGATGAAGAAACTGCACTATTTGAGATAATGTGAGAAGGACCTAGGTGTGTATGTTGACAATGAGCTGAAGTTCTCGGGCCATTGCGAGAAGAAGGTAAATCAAGCAAATAAATTATTGGGTCATATAAGGTTGTTCAGATATCTAGATGGCCTGTCCCTCGTAACAATCTTCAAGAGTGAAGTGCTTCCCCATCTGGAGTACTGTCACCCCGTCTGGTCCCTGAGATATGCTAGGGACTGTCAGTTGGTTGAAAATGTTCAAACGAAGGCCACCAGACTGGTGCCTGCACTTCGGCAACTCAACTACCCTGAGAGATTGGAGCACCTGAACTTGCCTAGCTTATTCTACAGAAGGGCAAGGGGCGACCTAATTGAGGTGTCCAAGCCTCTCAAGGGGCACTACAGTACTCAGTAGAGTGTCCTTACTTGAAGCTGGAGGGCCGCTCGCCCCACAAGGGGTCATAGCTCAAGATTGAAGAAGCCACAGGTCCAGAAAACTGTAAGGGCAAACTTTTTCGGAGTGAGAGTTGTGTACTCTTGGAACAATCTACCAGAAAGTGTTGTGATGGCACCGAGTGTGAGCTCTTTCAAGACCAGACTTGACCAACACTGGAGCAGGTTCAGGTACATTCAGGAGCTGGTGCATGCCCAGTACTTGCCAACAGTGTGTAACAGAGACGTGACCGATTACCTAAGCGGCTAACGAGCCGATCAGTGGTGAAGAGGATAAAAAAGTACAAGGCCAAGGAGAGGCAGAGGGATTTTTCCAATTTCATAAAACACATATCAAAAATAAAAGTAAATATGGTATATCTTTAATAACTCTGAGTGTGAACCACTAACTTAATTAGCACCTACTTTGACTTCACTCCATCAAACATGCCAGTACTGATGTAGTAGGGACATACAGCTGTGGTCTTGACTCCAGTGTAACCTTCAACCTGGTAATCCACAATAATGTGTTACGGGTAATGCATTTATGTGATCATTTATACATCTGACTTAACCAAATTAATCTGTAATACAAAGTACAGTATGGTAAAATCAGGACTTGTATATACTATAGGTGCATTTAAATAAATAGGTATATACTGTACTGTAGATACATTTAAATAAACAGGAGAGTATCAATCACAAATTTAATATTTAATTATGTAAAACTACAAGACTATCTCTACATCAATACTATTTTAAACCCTTCACTGTAGGGACAGCACTTTTAAACATTTTATTTGGCTAATGCCAGACGATTTTATTCAGCAGAGCTAGGGGGACCTCAAACACCAATGGTTAAATTTTTTAGATTCACCTGAAGCTCAATACGAAGACTTTCATCAAATCCAACAGCAGCAAATTTTGATGCACAGTAGTCTGCTAATTTGTTGACTCCACCCAAACCAGCCAAAGATGCAACAGTTACAACATGACCACGGTTTGAGGCCAACATATCTCCAAGGAAGGCCTTTGTTGTCTGAAATAAATAAATATATATATATATATATATATATATATATATATATATATATATATATATATATATATATATATATATATATATATATATATATATATATATATATATATATATATATATATATATATATATATCATGTAGATCCACAATGAAAACGTGGATAAGATAAATCTTGATAAAATCACACGGGAAAAGGGAAACAACGGAGCACCTTAGCTTTCGTCTTTATTCAAGACATCTGCAGAGGCAACAGGATTACATGCAGAGAGAGGCTTAAATATACAGGGTGACCTTAAAAACATGAGGTCAGGTCATAATGATGTCATCCACTAATCCCCACACCAACACACACGTAGAGGAGCTTAAGAGAAGGGGGGTGACGTGAACTTGAGTCTAGATTACTACCCAATATAGTGGACTTTATTCCTCCATGGTATAGATATGTAGATGATGTTCTTTGTCTTTGGCCTAGAAACAGAGACCCATTGGAATTTTTAGACAAGCTTAATGATATTGTCCCAAGTATCACATTCAAAATGAGGCACCCACAAGGGAAGTGTTTCTTTTTTATTATTTCCTTCGATACCTGAGATTTAATTGTGTAAATCTGGAGTTTATGATAATATTCAAATATTTATAAAGTACAATTTTTTCGAGGTTCCCTTGTATGAACTACCATCACCATCCGGCATACTAGTAAAGAAGCAAAATTTTCACAATCAGATGATACAGCAAGTGGGTAAATGATGAGTACTAACAAAGTGAGTACCTGTATGTGGTCCACAGAAATAACATACCCAGAAGTGGCTCATGATGTTGACGTCAAATGTCTTCTGTATGAGGTGGTCTGGCGCGTCTATGAAGTTTCTGCCCGTCACTATGCCTGCGTTGTTCACCAGGATGTCCACCTAAAGTACCATAAAAAAATTATCTTTATTGCTCAATACGAACTTATATTCTATCACACAACACACACATTATTCTACAATCTACTCTTACCATCATCACCTTCTCTAATAATTGTGAATTAGACAAGGTTCAATTTGTCAGCTTTTTCAACATGTAAGACTTGTTTAATATTTTGTTTACATAATCCTCATACTTTTACTTTTTTACTTTTATCCTCTTCGCCACTGATCGGCTCGTTAGCCGCTTGGGCGGTCGGTCCTATCTCTGATGCACAATGTTGGCAGATAATGGGCAGGCACTGGCTCCTGAATATATCTAATAATAATAATAATAATAATTAACGGTTTATTGAAAGAGCTTGGCAGCCAGAAGGCTGAAAATATATCTGAACCTGCTCCAGTGTTGGACAAGTCTGGCCTTGAATGAGCTCACACTCAGTGCCGTCACGATGCTCTCCGGCAGATTGTTCCAAGAGTTCACAATTCTCACTCCGAAAAAAAAATTGCCCTCACAGTTTTCTGGACTTGAGGCTTCTTCAACCTTGAGCTGTGACCCCTTGTGGGGCGGACGTCCGCCAGCTCTAGGTATGTGTGAAGTTAAAAAGTTTTTAATAGCAAGTAAGAATAAGTAAATAAGATTTGTAATATGTTGGTACTAACCTTGCCTACTTCCTGTTTGACCTTGGTAGCAGTGGCATAGATGGCATGACGGTCACAAAGATCAACAGAGTAGGCGTGGCCCTCCCCACCAGCTGCCACCACCAGCTTAGCAGTTTCCTCGTTACCTGCACACATAACAACAGTCACTTTATACTGCCCAACATAACTCACTTGTGAATAAAAATCTTGGCATAACATGAAAAGGGTTATAAAAACACAAGAAGTTCAGCAAAATAAAATACGGCAGTGGTGTTCTTTAATTTTAACACCAAAGAGCGCAAACCACACAAGTGCACGTGTTGTTTGTGTTGCAGGAGTTTTGAAAGACTTTTTGTGGTAATGCCAATAGA